ATGCTAAGAAATTTCCTTTACTGCATATATTTGTAAGTTTCCAAAGAACGTGGTCATTCAGGGTCATAAAGCATAAACATGGCTGGATAATAACTCACCAAACACCACCCCCCACACACCCCTTTCCCCAAACAATCCATAAAGCATAAACATGGCTGGATAATAACTCATCTCACACACACACACACACCCCTTTCCCCAAACAATCCAAAAAGCATAAACATGGCTGGATAATAACTCATCACACACACACACACACACACACACACACACACACACCCCTTTCCCCAAACAATCCAAAAAGCGTAAACATGGCTGGATAATAACTCATCACACACACACACACACACACACACACACACACACACACACCCCTTTCCCCAAACAATCCAAAAATAGGTAAGCAAAAAGTAGTGAGTGATTCAGAGACTTACACACACTCTTAGAAAAGATGAAAAGGGAAGATTTTTCTATACAAAATAACTGTCATGTGAAATTACTTTAATAGGGAAAATCAAACCCAATTACAGCAATGCTTCAAGATGACAAGGGTAAAAACAATCTATCACACAGATCTCCCTTTCCTCTAAAATTTCAAAGTCTCACTAGGTCAAGAGATTGAGACCATCCTGGTCAACATGGTGAAACCCCGTCTCTACTAAAAATACAAAAAATTAGCTGGGCATGGTGGCGCGTGCCTGTAATCCCAGCTACTCAGGAGGCTGAGACAGGAGAATTGCCTGAACCCAGGAGGCGGAGGTTGTGGTGAGCCGAGATGGCGCCTTTGCACTCCAGCCTGGGCAACAAGAGCGAAACTCCGTCTCAAAAAAAAAAAATTCAAAATCTTTGTTTCTATTGTATATTAACTTGGCCTGCATTTACTTGTAAATATCTTACCTTTCCTGCTATATTTTAAGCCTCTTAAATGCAAGAATCAAGTTTCTGAATCCCTAGAAAGTTTTATACATTGTAGGCAATTAATCAACTTGGTTCAAATTATCAAACGTTTGCAATATTGATGAGGGGATACAATGATAAAAGATGTATTATGCTGGGCCAGGCGCAGTGGCTCAAGCCTGTAAACCCAGCACTTTGGGAGGCGGAGGCGGGTGGATCACGAGGTCAAGAGATCGAGACCATCTTGGTCAACATGGTGAAACCCCGTCTCTACTAAAAATACAAAAAATTAGCTGGGCATGGTGGTGCGTGCCTGTAATCCCAGCTACTCAGGAGGCTGAGGCAGGAGAATTGCCTGAACCCAGGAGGCGGAGGTTGCGGTGAGCCGAGATCATGTCATTGCACTCCAGCCTGGGTAACAAGAGCAAAACTCTGTCTCAAAAAAAAAAAAAAAAAAAAGATGTATTATGCTATTCTCAAAGAATTTATTGAAAATCCAGGAAAAATGCATTAATGTATCATTGATAAGAAAAAATGCTTGCTTAGAGATAAATCAACAACATCCCCAAATCCTCTTTTTCTTAAGAGGTTAAATGTTAGAGGAAAAGGGGTTGTTATATAAAGAGGCTGTTAGTGTCAATACGTATGTTCTTGAAAAACCTGCCATTCTGTAAACTGTGCACTAAAAATAAGACTTACAGAGAAAAATAGCTAGTGTTGGGCAGACTACTCAACATTTATGAAACTTTGTAACTAGATCACTAATGAAAACATTAACAATCCTATTAAAATCCAAGATTATTAATCCATTGATTTTCATTAATCTATTGTTTTAATACAGGACGGATTGTCATTGTAACTTCTTCATTTACACTTGAGCACTGCAGGAACCACCTACATGAAGGATATCGCCATAGATCTTTTCTTGTAGTTTACATATTTGCTAAATCTGACTCTAATTGCAAGAAAGCATGACACTGATTGTTACAAAGCATTTAATATGCTAGGAAAAATCATGCTGGGCAATGTAACTTAAAGATAACACTAATTCATGTGAGCTAATTATGCCAAAGAAACACACATGAAGCAGAAAAGACAGATTGATAAGTGGCTAATCCAGGTATTGGCTTATGTGACCAGAGTTTATAGTCAGAGTAATTGTAATAGAATTAATGATATCAGCTGGCAACACTTACTGAGGGTTACTATGTGCCAGGCATGATGTTAAACCCTTTACATGGATTATCTCATTTATTCTTCCCATAGACTCTATGAAGTAGATGAAGAAACAGCTATTTAACAAGATTAAGTATTAATATTTGTCCAAGTTTATGAAGTTGGAAAGTGGCAAAGCTAGGATTTGAACCTAGATCTTTCTGACTCTATGGCCTCAGTTATTAAAAACCACTATGAAATAATATTCTTTATCCAATAAAAGCATGAAATGATTCTATAATGGTAACTGACAATATGGCCCAATGCTCTTTATCCAACTGGTACATGTCAATGTTACAGCTGATATGATCTATGGAGCTGGAAAGCTACTAAGCATTGTACAGCACTTGTTATTTTTCCAGACTTTTTGGCTAGGATGTGAGGAAAATCTTTGGACATGGCCAAAGGAGAATTCCAGAAGTGAGACACCTCCTTTTCATTTCTTTCCAGCTGGGTCAGAGGTTCACTGTGATGACTCAGGCTACGCAAGGGCTGTGGAATGGACATGCAGCTGTACTTCTAAATTCCAATGGGACATCAGACTGGGGTGAGCGGGAGGATTATGACATGGAAATTCATACCCAACTGGAGCCAGGATGCTATGCACTGATGCCAGACAAAGAACTTGTGGTGGAATCTGGACTTTTCAATTCATTTAATCTAAATTGTATTTAACTTAACGTGCTCCAGGAATTAATTAATTCCTAACATTTGTGACTGGCCAAATGTTAGGGCTGCAAAACTGAGTAATCCATAAATCCACAGGCCCGTGGAGCTAACTGTGGCCACTTCATTGAGCATATTCTGTGCAAGGCACTCTTCTTGGCATTTTACATGTATTAGTTCACTGAATTTTCACAACCCTATTATGTAAGGATTAATGTTCTTCCTATTTTATAGGTGAGAAAACTGAGGTGCAGAGAGCTTAAGAAACCTGTATAAGGTGACATAGCTGATGAGTATATGGCAGAGCCAGGATCTGAACTAGGCTCTTTGAATCCAGAGCCTCCATTCTTAACCTACTCCCTACACTCTTTCTCTAGTAGTAGGAGACAGGGGGGTTAAAAAAAACCATAATGTAGGGAGATCAGAAAAATTATAGACATATGTACCCAGTAGAATACTGGTAGAGGAGAAAGTGATTAATCCTGCTTGGAGTGGTGGGGAGGACAGAGTTGTGGGAGGAGTGCCAATTCGGCAAAGCCTTCGGAGCAGATGTTGAATAGTTATCAGGGACAGCAGAGGAAATAGCATAGACAAGGTGATGGAGGTGGGAAATGGCCCGCCATGTGTACAGTTTGAAACATATAGTAAACATGGTAGGGTAGCAGGAGAGGGCTGTGCAGCAGTAGGAAAGATCAGAGAGAGGAAGAATTCAATTCTATGAATTGGCCATGCCACGGAGTTTTGCCTTTTTTTTTTGTTTGAGAGAGTCTTGCTCTGTCACCCAGACTGGAGTGCAGTGGCATGATCTCAGCTCATTGCAACCTCTGTCTGCCAGACTCAAGTGATCTTCCTGCTTCAGCCTCCTAAGAAGCTGGGAATTCAGGTGCATTTCACCCTGAGCGGTTAATTTTTTATTTTTAGTAGAGATGGGGTTTTGCCATGTTGCCCAGGCTGGTCTCAAACTACTGGCTTCAAGCAATCAGCCTACCTTGGGGAGTTTGCTTTTTTTTTTCTTTCTTTTTTGTTTTTTTAGAGATGGGGTTTCACCATGTTGGCCAGGCTGGTCTCGAACTCCTGACCTCAGGTGATCTGCCTGCCTCGGCCTCCCAAAGTGCTGGGATTACAGGCGTGAGCCACTGCGCCCGGCCTGGAGTTTGCTTTTATGTGGAAAATATTAAAATAATTTTTAAAAGGGGAGAAAGCAAGCAACCCAGTTTGTTTTTGACTCCAGGTGCAGTGTGGAGAATGGAACCATGCAGGGCCAGGGTCAGGGGGTAGGTGTTGGGAAAGGAAGGCAAAATCTAGAAGTAGAGTTCATTTAAGAGATTCTAATGATCCCTAGTGAGAAAGTAACGTGATGGGAATGGGGAAGGAGGGATGAGTAGAGAGATTTTCTTTTGGAGACCAGGTCAATAGGACTTGTTGATTCAGGTGGGGGTGGGGGGACTGAAGGGAGATTTCCTCATTAAGAGTAAAAAGTTGATTCTTCTGAAACCTAAGTGTTTGAAGTCAGCTCTAGACTCTTGCTGGGAACTTGGACTTAAAAGGAGCACTGCATTTTAGATGCATGGATCCTGATTGTGGCTAATAATTAAAATTCATAGTATCATTATTTTCACCTTCTTTTTGTATAGTACCAAAAAGCCCCCACTGAAGTAAACAGAAATGCTTTACTTTGCCAATGATTACTGGTTTCATAATATATCACACACAATCCCAGAGCAACTCTGCCTATTAGCTTGGGTTGCCCACTGACAGATAATTACCACCTGGTATTCCTGTACTGTAATAAGGCTCTTTGATCTCCTTTTACCTATTTCTTGAAATAACATTCAAAGATGGATAAATTACCCCACTCCCAAAACTCGCTGAGAAAACCAAGAACGAAAAGCGAAGAAAAGGTCACATTTCCCAGCTTACAACTTCCTCCTTTCCCTTAGGTGGCTGGCATCTGCCTTTCTGCTCAGTTCCAGCCATGAGTGGGAAGCTCCTGGCTTTCTGGAGCCAGAGGATGTTCAGGAGGAAAGCCCACTCAGTCAAGGGCGAGGCCACAGCTGGGAGGATGACTCGCACTGGATCCAAAAAGAAAACAAATGGTCTCAGAAATATGGTGGTCACGGGATAAGGGGGCAGGGGTGTGCGGAGGTGGGCCACCGCCTTTTCCAGGAAGTTGGTTAGTGAAAGAATTCTGGTAGGAAAAGATGAAAAAAATGTCCACTTACTGATACAAGAAATCAGATCATTAAATCTTTCCTTAGGAAAGAGGGGGTTTTCCAGCCCACGGAAATAGAGCTTCAGAACACCAGCAACTGAGTTAATATCATGGTTACTCTGGTCATCAGCCAAAGGATTTTCACCTAAAAAAAAAAAATTTGGTATACTTACAATGGTTTTTCTTCTCTGAACAAAAATATATTTCTATGCATACACACACATTGCTATATATACATGTATCTTTTAATTATGCTTTATGAAAGAATACATGGTACTAAAATTAAAATAATTGGTTTAGATATCCCACCCCATGATTAACCTAAAAATAGTTGGCTAAAATAAAGCTTTAAAAATCTTATGCTACTAAATAATCCCTTACAAGTTACCCAAATCTTTAAATAAAATATTGTGGGATTTATAATTTTACCCAACCCCCCACTCTTTTTTTAAGTTGAAATCTGTAATCTTAGTTTGGCATGAATTCAAACACTGCACCCTGTGTTTCTTACCCTACTGGGAAAAAGACATGCCATAGGTCCATCTGGCTATGCTATATGGGTCAGCAAAATTTATCAGAAATGTCATAGGCTCCACTGAATTGTGAACACCTACAATTAAGTAAGTAGCTATTTCCCAAAGTGGCATGGTGGTGTTCAAAGCACATGTGAAAGTTGTCTTGAGCAGAGGGAGTCTCTAAAATCAGATAGAGTAACTTGAAGATGTATCTTTCACATTACCAAGGAGTTTGTATAAAAAGTGGGAATTAAAAAATATATCACAAATACAAAATTATATTGTTCTTTATGGTAAACAACTTTAATATATTAGGCAACTAGTCTGGTTAGTGTTCCTCTCAGAGATAAAAATCCTAAAGAAGTTCAACATAATATAGAGCTTTAAATCCAACTCTATTTTTTATTTACAGTTTTATGCTTCTAAAGTTCATAAAAAGTGTGCATTGCATTTTAACATTGTTTTTTGCTTCTTAGGGCAATTTATTTTTAGGGATCTGTTGCTCCCTTTTCTTTGTTCCTAGGGCAAGAAATCGCTGAACATGAATTTATCAGAATATAATAATTACTATTATTTTTGCCCACTGTGAGAAAGCCTCACCCAAGCAGATCACAAATAACAAATACCAGGAAAAATTTCAAGGAAAAATGACAGTGTATTTTGCCTGTGGTGGCTAGTACAGAACCAGATACTTTACAGTATTTCAGTTTATCCTGAAGATGGCCAATGCATGAGACTTGGCACATGTGGCTGCTCTGCTCTAACTATCAAGTTTTACAGATTTGCAGATGAGGAAACAGAGGCAAAATAGGAATTGAGTGACTAGACCCAAATCACATGATTGATTAGTAGCTGAGAGTCCGATATAATTCCAGGTCTGTCTGACACATATGATTCTAGGTCTGTGCCTAGAGATGTCAAAGGTGTGCAGCTTTGCTAATTATAATGTGCTAACTGGAATGTTGCTAACATAAGGAAATGATGTGTATTTTAGGTGATGGACATCCCAGTTATCCTGATGTGATAATTACACACTGTATGTCTGTGTTGAAACATCACCTGTATCCTATTAATACATATTACCATTAGGTACCCATAATAGTTAAAAATAAAAAATTAAGGGAACATAAAGTATTGACATTGAAAAAAATAATATATACGGTATATGTCCCAGTTTAGTAAAACTTGACAGCCAGTAATAACAAGCATAAGGCAACCCCTAGGGTCACAGGGAAGGAGTCTGAGGATGGTGAGAAGAGGAAGGGAAGAAAGAGCTCCCGACAAAGGGAGCAGCTGGGCTGCTGGGAGGAGCTGCCTCCCTTACCTGCTGTCTAGGCCCAGGGATGTCCTGGCCATGCTTCTAGAACCCTTTCAGCCCCACATTTGATATACCTGGCAAGAATTATCAATGTCAGTCCTCAACCAAGATGCAGAACTCATATGCTTTTCTAATTTTAATAACAAGGGCTGATAATTTTGGTCCCATTTCTCAGCTATTCTGAATGGATTCTTACCACTGTACCCCTACTGTATTAAATACAAAGAGAAAGGTTTTGAGGATATACGGAATAAGGGTGGCACTTCAGTTTACAGAACATGATGACTTTTTAACATGGTTTGCTTATAGGGATAGATGTGCAATTACCTCTCTCAAATGAATTTTTAATATCATTGACTTCCACCTGGGAACCAGACACTCTGAAAATCCCCTGATGCTGAAGACCTAAAGAGAAAAGAAGGGAAAGAGAATAAAAACCCTATCACATTGTCTGGGTCCCCCCTTTCCCAGGAATTAAATTTACTGAAACACTTCTAGTGATTTTTAAAAAATAAGAATTCTGTAGTTTATGGCTTACCATAGAGATTGATGAACCGAATGCAGCTTTCCACAATGAGGGGAATAACCTGTCCCGAGTCCTGGGTAAAGGGATGGTAACCAGTTAACCTCAAGGAAGAGGTATAAACCCCACATGATAATAAGGCTTACAGTTTAACAGGAATTAAAGAGGGATTTTTGCAGTTCTGGAGCAAACCAAATTAAATACATTTAAGGCAATCCTGTTTCAACTTACTCTGCTCTGCCTAGAGAAGTCAAAAGCTGACTCATCTCTTCTGCTTATATTAAGACTCACATACCAAAATGAATATGTGAATAACTCATTTTTAAAAGCTTATACAAGTGATCAATCTTTAATGGACTTAAAAAAAAACTCTGTGTATTATAATCATAGTATCTTCAGATTGGTTGGTTGTATTCATCATGAAAGACAGCCTTTCAGCCATCTCAGGGTTCTCTGACATCCCTGAGACTACATCACCTAGATGACAGGTTATAAAAGGGCTTCCATGTCTATAGATGCATAATATGAGAATTGTTAGAGAGATAATTAAAGCATGTATTTATTTAGTTTGTATCAGAACTTACAGATTTTTCATTGTTACGTTTTCATATTTTAAGAAAGAAGCAAATAAATGACACAAATGTATATCCCAGAAGATGTCATTTTTCTAGTAAGGAACATTTTTGGGCCTTCTTTCCCCACATCTTGTAAAACAGTCATTGCCTTCTACGGAACAAATGTAAATTGTGGCAATGCTTTAAAACATGTATAGGATGACAAATGAGATGAAAGGCTGCTGAGGTCACAGTTAAATATGTACCGATGCCACGTACTCCATGAAGTTAAAGAAAGCTACTGACGACAGAATTATTTTTCATGTACTTTTAAGACTCTGCTTTTTCAGGAATTAGATCTTAAAAAACAACAACAAAAATAACAAAACCAGGGGGCTCAAAAATGGTTACCTAACATCAGATATTAATTCATGAGAAATTTTATTTTGAAACGCAAGAAAAAGTTGGTTATCTTAATATATTAGAACAATTCAGAATCCATTAACCTTTCCAATTAAGCAGTAGGGGAAGGACTGGGAATAATGCAGTTCAGCAATTTAAACTCTTTAGTATTCCTAGAATGGGTAATATATTTCTTAAGGGATTGTCTTATTTTAGGTTTTAAGACAATCTAATCAGTGTATAAACCAGATAATGGCTCAATTACTTCTTGAGCCTATATTAAGTTTCTCTAATTAGTTAATTTGTTTTAGGAGCACAAATTTTATTAATTTCTTAAAGAAGAGTCTTAAGAATAAAAACACATTTTAGTGTGGACTAGTTAGCTCAAGAACAGCAATGTAATTATATCACAACTTACTAAATACGTGAAAGGATTTTTCTTTAAGATATAAGTGTTTTAGGGGAAGTAAACTATACAAACAATTCATGGAACACTAATCTAAAAGCAACACATTTTTAAATGTAAGTGATAAAAGGAAACCATTAGTTTACATCTCTGCTGAACTTAGTAAACAAAAAGAAAAGCAAAGAATAAAAGGTTATTAAAAGGAAAATGTTTGCACTAAGAAAGTTCTCAATAAAATATCTTAGGTTTTCATATTTTTAAAAAATGTTTTTGTGTTTACATTTACTTGCTTTTTTAGAAACCTGTGATCAGTATTTCATTCAGATATAATGAATTTTGTAGTCAAAAAGTAATGGGTATGTGATTTAATTTAATTTTATAGATTTCAGATGTTTAGGTAGAAAATATAAGAAAATATTTTATAACAACAATGCAGTGCATTCCATCTATCATTCAAACTAGTCCCTTAGTGTCAGTTTTCCCATGAGAAAAAGAGAAAAATGGTTTTGCTCTTGCAAATGTCTTCACAGTGACATTGTGAAGGTTTCAAGTGATTGAGCCCTTTTTAGAAGTGGAAGGGAACCCTCAGTATTATTTCTATTACCAAAGGTTTTTCAATGTGCCATCTGGGCAGTAAAGAGCTTCTGTAAGTGAATTTTCCATGATAGCTGGTTTATTTATTCTCTAGTGCCTCAATTTACTTTCCTTTAACTGCTCTTAATGAAAAATATATAAAAAAAATTCGTGCTTCCCTATCATCTTAAGTAGCCATTCTCGTACTGTATTATCAAATACAACAGAATTCTATGTCTGCTTCTTGCAGCTTTTCTCTATTCTCTTTCTCTGCCAGGCCTTCAACTGAATATCTCATTGCTTTCATTTTTTTGTGCCTCTCTCTCCATCTAATTTGCCCCTGCTTATAAGCCATGGGCTGGGAAACTAGATAATCAGATTTGACAATAATTTTATATTAAGTTAGAGCCAATAGGCTCTTCTGGGTTTAAGGCTTAAGGCAGTAGATTTGTAATTGCTATTTAGTTCTTCAGTGGCTTTTCACTTAACTCCAGAGTAGGGCTGCTTTTTAACGCTGCCAGAGGTTTTTAATCTATATATTATGTATGTATGTATCTATCTGTCCATATACATGCCACATGCACATTTCTTTAATTATTAGTAAACGTATTCAATAGACAGACCTAAGAAAGTAAGCCACCTGTAACATATCATTAAGGGAGGTTATTAATGATGTGATTTCCTAAATGAACTTCGTTTGCAGAAGCATGGCAGCCATGCCATAAAATGTAAGCTCTAAAGGAAAAAACAAGCCCCAAGCCCTTTTCTTTTTTGTAAAATTCACACGAGGGTCCATAATCCAGTATTAAATGTGTATTTTATATTTAACCTTGACTTTACCTAATAAAAGCCCTTGATCACACTTGATATATTTGCCAAAGACATAATGTAAAAACTAAGGGTTTAATGTACCCATTTTTTCCTCTAGGGTTTGATTTCTACAGTTTCTAAGTAAAACCTATTTATAAACCTGTCTAATTTCCAACTGCAAACATTTTTCTTTTAAAAACCTTAACAATCTAATTAAAGCCAAGCATGAGCGCGACTTGAAAATGATACCGACAGTGAAGGAGGCTGCACCCTCATGTCCCTCTAGCACTATACCTGATGTCTCGTGTGCGAGTTCCTTCGTCCTCGGCTAGAAGCATTATCAGAAATACAGGATGAAAAAGAAGACGAAGAGTAAACACAGCAGAGATACAAGGTATAGATCACAGGGCCTTACAATTTATTCAATATAATGAATTCCTCAAGTCATGGGAAATCAAAACTCCTGCTGTGCTTCAGAGCTAGCCTAACAAGCAGACTTTAAAAATCATTTTGTGCCATCTCATTTGCATGAGCAAAAAGACAACATTTTTATCAGGTTGCTTTTTAACTTTCTGTACAAATTATGGCTCTTTAAAAAAAAATAAAGCGGGCTTTCTTTCATGCCCACATAATACCCATATTTATTCTCTCTTCTCAAGGCACTCGACCCAAATATTCTTTCCTCTCTGACTTCAGGAAATATTATATTGATTATCTGGGAAAGCAAAGAGCCCCAGGACAGACTTGGACATAATGACCTGCCTCCTCTTACAAGAGGCTGAGACCATTATAGTTAAGAAGCGTGGAGATCAGCCACCCAGATGGCTGGTGCCAGTACCTTGACGAATGTTTCCAAATCCCCATTAAACAACTTAGTATTATACTGTGAGCGGGGCCTGGACTTCCTGTGTTTCTGGGGCTTAGGGGGAACATTTGGAGGCCTAAGGGAAGGGAATATAATTACTGAGCATGGAAGAAATCAAACAATAAATGAAACATCTATAGGTCACATCAAAATTACAAAACACGGGAATCTTGGGTTCCTTCCCCTCTCCCTCAGTCACAGGGGAAAACATCCCTCCTGTTTCCCATTTATTTACTTTCACTTCTGTATCAAAAATCATATGAATTATTTATTCACATTGCTGTTTCCCTGTATGTTGCAGCTGACATTTGTTTCTTTGCTAGTTTGTTATAAAATTATAAGCACTACCAAGTAGACTTGTTAGCTATTTGGCCAAATGTTAACAAACCAGCATTCTTGTTATTTGGTTTACAAGCCACACAGTAAGATACAACCAGTCATAAAGATTAGGGCTCCAGTAGATCCCCAAATGGAGAAGTACATATAACATTTTTAGGTTCATGCCTTTTTTTTCTTTTTTGAGACAGCGTCTTGCTTTATAACCCAGGCTGTAGTGTAGTGGAATGATCACGGCTTACTGCAGCCTCCACCTTCTGGGCTCAAGGGATCCTACCACCTCAGCCCAAGTAACTGGGACTACAGGTGCATGCCATCGTGCCAGCGAATTTTTTAATTTTTTGTAGGGACATCTCCCTGTGTTTCCCAGGCTGGTCTTGAACTCCTGGGCTCAAACAATCCTTTCACCTTGGCCTCCAAAGTGCTGGGATTATAGGCATGAGCCACCTCATTCAGCCCAAAATACCAATGCAAATAACATCACATCTGTTCGATACCCCTCTAGTAGTAATGGGATTTCATTTTATTCAAAAGTAACTATTAATGGGTCACAAGTGAAAAAAACAGTTTGGGTTCACTGCTTTTTCTGATTTGGGGGACATACAGGCTTGCACGAGTTATTATTTCTTTAGAACAAACTATTCCACCATCTAAATATCTGTAGAGCATGAGGATGTACTTGTTTATGCCACTGCAGACTCTTCCTCTCCAGTCTGCCTGTCTGCCCTGGTGAATAAGCCATTCTCTCTGACATGCACATCCAGTGCAGCATGCAGTATATTCAGAAACTCTGCATCACCTTGTCCTGTTACTGCAGAAAAGGAATCTCTTCTGCTCTCTCCCATTAGTGGAAAGAAGACAAGATTACCTGACTCAACTTCAACTACTGTGCTGAATTAAATACAAGGAAGGAGAACCCTGAAACCTGTCTCTGGATGTTTTCATATAAAACTCCTTCTTAACTGCAAAGCTTACAGGAGGATACACACCACACTTGGAAATTGTGTAAAGCCCTTCATTAAGCTTCAGACTCTCTAGGAAAATTCATCTTTTTTAGTTCATTTAGCTTAAGTTCAAAAAGTCTGGCTCGTATACCAAATCCCAAGAAGTTACGCGGAAGCCTGACTAGCTTCACAAGACACTGTCACGTATGGAAACAAATACTGGTATGGCCTTCCGTAGCTAAATTCTAAGACCTCCCTGGATGGGCTCATATGATGAATGGGTGCACAGCAAGCACACCTGAAGTCCCATGGTGCTGGTGAGGTGAAAAGGAGCCTTTGCGAGTATCTAGAAGAGAATATGGAAACTTCTACCAGGCAATGTATCCTCTCCTACCACGGCTGAAATTGCTGAGATCTCTTTTAAACAATGAATTCTGTGCCCATCACAGAGGAAGGAATCTTCTAGGTGTAAAAAGAACAAAACCACCAACCACCAATGGCTTTAATCCTATGTACTTGACTTCATCCACTCCTTTAAGTGTTTTAAAATGTGGATTTTATTGATTGATTGATTGATTGTGGATTTTATTTTTATTCAGGTATGGTGAGGCCAAGGATCAGGAGACAACTATTACTGACAAGATAGTTACTCACAGTTCCTAAGAGTTGGGGACATGCCCCACTGTCAGGGAGGCTGCAGAAGGAAACATCAGGATTGGTCAGGATGCAGAAGGGGTAAAGGAAAATGCGCGCAAGAGTCTTTATTGTGGTTCTCACTGGAGGGAATGGGAGAAGCTGGGCAAGCAGGTTTAGAATAGGCTAGTTTGAATGATTCCAGTGGGCTTTGGGACATAGGGACTATCCCTAAATTGTCCCATACCTGGCCCTGGGCTTAGGGAAGGGGAATAGTGGCCCTAAATGTGAGAACCTGATGAAGGAGGTGGTTGGAGGCAGGTGCTATGGATCACCAGGCTTGCATACAAAAGGCACACTTGCAAGCCAGTCCTTACTACTGCTATGAATTGGCTAATCTTAGGAGGATTGACAAATTCTGTGTTTAATGCTTTGATATCTTGGGGCCTTGCTGACCCCTTCCAGGGTCAGAAGTCTTTCCGGGGTCAGCAAGGCCCCAAGATAACAAAGCATTAAACACAGAAACTAGAAAACGTGGTTATGACAACAAGGTCCAAGAGAGCTTCATATCTGGTGATATCTGAGGAAGCTGACAAAGCTAAGAAGATTAGAATTTTGTTTGGTCACTGATTCACGGAGCAAGCCAATCTTGTAGCTGGAGCCAAAAACCTCCAGTGCACTGAATCATTGTCCCCACTTGACTGGGAGACACAGGGTAATCCTGGCTAATGGGGGGATATCTTCTGAGTCTTCTATCAAAGGCCTGAAAATCACCTCTCCCAAGGATTCTCAAGTATGTTAAATGTGAACACACAAAAATCGTGAGAGGAACTTGGAATGAAATTGAACTGCCTGAGTGCTTATCCGAGTAATTTCCATGGTGGAGGTCTGATGATTCTGGCTCTGCTATGCCTACATCAAGCAAACAGAGCTAGGACAATTCAACATTCCAATGGCATGACCCATTCTGGTTCTGTGCTTAGCACATGGCTTCCTGACCATTGGTTTCCTATAGAGAATGCCCACATGAGAGGAAGTACTGGTCAGGTTGATGTGAATATCTAGTTTATCTGGCAATTTTAGCTCTCACTGCAAATTAATATATTTACATTTCTGTTTTTAAAAAAATCTTTTTTTTGAAATGCTTTACATTAATTATAATTGAGAAACAACAGGTAAAATAACTAATAGTGTAAGGAGATACTATAGATGAAAAACATCTCTATAAGCTGCATATTACCAGGTAGAGGTAATAGTCCTCTTTTTCACTGACATGGTGAAAGAAAACCTCAGTATATTTTTTTTTTTGGTTAGGTTTGGAAAAGTCAGGAGCTGTATCTTTCTAGTTGGTTTACCAAGAAGTACAAGGGGCTTCCTTATGAATAAGCTGCCCAGCAGTAACATTATAGATCTTTGAAAGTCGACTTGCCAATTACTGCAACAGATATACTAGGGTTCTAAATGCCTCTTATTTCAAAGAGAACTCAACTTCAAAAGTGCAAAATCTTGCTATGCTAATTAGATAATTTCTGGCTGTTGCACAAATGGTGACAAAAATAAAAGTTGCCACAAACTTTCTGCAACCCAAATTGGAATCTGCTGCCCAAATGGCTCTTCCTTCTGTAGTGGTTTTACAATCCTCCCCTGAATGAAGAAAGTACAATATGGGAACACGGGTTAAAAGTTAAATGTTTAAAGTGAATCAAAATGGAGAATATAGAGAGAGCAAAAATCCTAAGGATATTCAATATAGGTCTAATTTTTATCTTTTTTTTTTTTTGAGATGGAGTCTCGTTCTCTCAGCCAGGCTCGAATGCAGTGGCACGATCTTGGCTCACTGCAACCTCTGCGTTCCGGGTTCAAGTGATTTTCCTGCCTCAGCCTCCTGAGTAGCTGGGATTACAGCCCACCACCATACCTGGCTATTTTTTTTTTTTTTTTTGTATTTTTAGTAGAGACAGGGTTTTAGCACGTTGGCCAGGCTGGTCTTGAACTCCTGACCTCAGGTGATCCAGCCCTCTCAGCCTCCCAATGTGCTGGGATTACAGACTAAGCCACTGCTCCTGGCCAGCTATAATTTTTATATGACCAAAACAAAATAGGAATAGAAAATAATTATACTTTCTACTTATGCATAGATGTAAACATCATATTTTTTAAATTAAACTATCAAATCAAAAGTCCTGTCACACTATTAAGAAACGCTTAAAGTGTTCTGGATTAGATACATCAAGCCTGTTTAACTTAGGTTTTTGTTACTGTCTCTGCTTATTAAAGAGCTTTACAATTCCAGAGGGAAACACTTAAGCCAGAACATACCTAGTCTTGTGAAAAGCCCAAACATTTCATGTTGCTATGCTTTGTCAAGCCAAAACTATCTCCCGTATTCATTAACAAAATATGTTAATTCTTTCAGCGCTGAAATGGTTGCTTCTTGTTAAAGAGAAAAGTGAAACATGTTATAAGTTAGGATAAAATATTTTCCTACCTTGTAGTCATATACTCAGCTCTATGACCTGCAGAAAAAAATTAAAGTAAGTAAACAGAACGGAATCAGTGCAATGTATGTGCTACTCTTTTGTATCACCTGCCCTTTATTTTAAAATGTTGAGTTTATAATAACTTACACATTTTTATGATAGAAAACATAAGGATAGCATATGAAGATAGACAAATAATTCAAAGTAAACATGTCATAAAATCTAAACATAAAATTTAATAACTTCTAAGGATTTGAGAAACATGTTTCACTTGGCAATTTGAGGCAGGTTTTGTTGGTTTTAAAAATTTTTGTTAAAAATATATTTTATTGCATTTTAGGTTTTGGGGTACATGTGAAGAACATGCACGATTGTTGCATAGGCATATACATGGCAGTGTGGTTTGCTGCCTTCCTCCTCATCACCTATATCTGGCATTTCTCCCCATTATGCCACCCCAACTCCCCACCCTAATTTTTTTTTTATAGAAAAGAAACAAGAATAGCTGCTTGATCATAACTGTAAGCACAAAAATGAAATACAAGTAAGACACATCCAAGATCTATATGTTAGCTAGTCTCTCTATTTTGATTGATACTTGTTGGGGAGAACCATGGGTTCAAATAGAGTTGGGAAGGTCCAATTTTCCTTAGACTAAGTTGATGTTCTTTCTATAATTTGAATCAGGGGACTAGAGAGCAGTTGCATTCTGTAATCAGAAATGACATTTGCAAATATGAAAGTACTAGGACATTAAATGATGCTACATTCCACCAACTTGTAAGCTAAAAGCCTTTCAGAGTTCTCTGTCCATCAAAACACGAATTGCTTATACATTTGGATTTCTGGACTTGTTTTAAGTAACAGGGCTGAATTTTTGTAGTGCTCCCACAATCTGCAGTAATTTTAAGCTTGCATGTGTTTATCGGTTGCTTTGTAAGTTTAGGGCAGAGTGGTGGGAAGGAATGTGGGAAAGTTGAACCATTCAGCTGGTTTGTTTGCAAAATACTGATATGGTCCTGAAATAGCTTGAAAATATACCTGGCAGGGGATGGTCACATTGCAGCACAAACAGCTAAGCCCAGCCTATCATATCATAATGCAGTGATTCAGATTTCTGGGGCAAGGCCAATATACAATGGCAAAGAAAGCTGGCTTGTTGGGAATGGCAAATCAACACTCCCAGGCTGCAGCAGTCTTTTACTCTATTATCTGCTCTTGAATAACAAATAACATAAAGGATTTGATTATTATCTACTGATTAAAAAGGGGGAAAGAGTTAAAATCTGAGACTACCTTTCTTCACATAGGGCCAGGCCACAGTAAAAGTGCTGGCAGACTGAGTTCATGGCCATGAGTTGAAATGGGATAAAGCGAAGAGGAAAAATCTGATTTTTCCTCCTCCTCCTCCCCCTCCTTCTCCTTCCAGTTCTACTTATTCAAATTATAAGTCCCTTCCTTTTGATGGCCTTCTACTACTTTGGAGAAGAAGAAAAAAGTAAAGGTGTACATAGAACTTCAGAATAATTTATAGCTATTCATGAACAGGAGCAAAGGTCTACGGGGAAGTAGAGGGGGCAGATGGTGACATGACTGGGATATGTGGTGCCTTATGGGATATCCTAATGGAAGTGTTCAGCAGGAAGCTGGCTATACAGGGTTAGAGCACAGAGAAAAGACAGGGCTGGAGATAAAGATGTGAATGTTACCACGATTTAGGTTGTGTTGGGTCCATAGGAGCTACATAAGATCACCCAGTGTGAGGCGGTGGAATGTGAAAGTGATGAGGGTAGAGAAACTCTCTGGCTTGTGCTGTATTATATTGTCATGTTGCATACTTTATTACAGCAATAAGTCTAATTGGGTATGATGCAATATATATTAGTAACAACAATTAAAAACAGCAATGATGTCTAATATTTATTAGACATCATAAGCACTTTATATTACATGTATTAACTCACAATTTTCACAATGACTTTATGAGGTAGCTTCTCTTACTATCCTTATTTACTGAAAAGACTGAGCATATAGAAAAGTGACTTGCCCAAGGTCACACTATTAGTATGAAGTGGGTGTAGCACTCAGGTCCAGGTTTGTTTTAATCCCAGTCCTAAGCTCCCAAGCACTATAATGTACTAACTTTAAAAATGTGAGTCTTTATTTCCTGGCAAATACTTCGAAAGATCCTAGAAGAAAGGTAGGGATTATGGCTTACAATTCTGTCTGCCTCATATGGCTAAAGCCAAATACAAAATACTGAATATTTAAGTAACTTAAATAAATTTTATAAATATATACATTATTAAATTAATAAATATCTATAAATGTAAATTTGATAACATAGGTAATCACTTTCAAGTGACTCAATGATAATGATGCCAGCAAGAATTCCTTAGAAATGAAATGTGTTATAACTGAAATTATGCTATTTTTGTTAAAATATCCCACATTATTCCTTAGATTTAGAAAATATGTAAAATGCTTAAAATTATTTTGTTCCATCCATCCATAGTTAATAGTATGAGATAAAAAATTAAAAACCCATAAAAGATACACTTTGAATAATGAACCAAGAGCAAGCTTTGCAAGAACTATCATTCACAGCATAACTGCACTACCGCATCCATCGTTTTTTCAACTAATAGTCTTTGAGTGTGTCTCAACTGATGAATGAGGTTTTATTTTTTAATCAGTATCATCATTAATAGATCAATAACACACAAGCTTAGAAGACTCTCCCTCCCAGAGAAATGTGAAAGCTTCCAGTGGTCTGAGGATTAGATTTCAATCATTTTCTTTGGAAAGCTATTAATTATTAAAAACAACAGACCACTCCTTCCCCCTGTCTCTTCCCTCCCCTGCCATACAAACCATTTGGAAAGAAAAAATGATGCAGGATTAACTTGGGCCATTTTTGGTGCAAACGTTATTTTTAGCTACTCTTAAATTTCATGTGAGAATTATGAAGTGAATTATTTTTCACACCTAAATGTATTTTATCTCCTACATATAGTTAATGGGGAAAACCAAAATATAGTTTAGTGGTAATCTGATATTTAAAAAAAGAGATAAAATACTTAAAATGTGTATAGCTCAAATGAGACCCAGGCATCCTGTATTTGCTCCCTAAAGAATGACTGATGAGAACTCCTGGCATTACTTTCCAGTCCTTTTTCTTCCTTAAGAATACCAACTACTGCAGTGCTTTTCTACAAAACCATAATTATTCACAATGAGTTCCCTTTTGAAAGTATACTTGTACTCCTTCTCAGAAACAGATAATGGATCATGTGAGGATAATCTATTAAATTCCTTTGTCAGAAATCTGATGTCCAGGGCAAGAAGCAATGTAATATGGAGCTCAGCTCCTAGTGTCAGATTTTCTGTGTTTAGCAAAATTGCACTGATATTTACACCCCCTTAACTCCAAATGCTGCACACAAAGAAGCCAATGTAAATATTAAGGCTCATTACTGAAAAAGAAAAAACAATTCAGCTTCTCAGTTTTCTAGATGTATATCTCATTTACTGTGGTCAGTTTAACTTCTATGATTTAACAACAAATGACATCACAGAAAGGTATAATGGTGTTGCTGAGGGATGAAGAAAATGATAATGATGAGTTAGGTCTTAACAACTCATTATGTGTTTCTATTTCAGTAGTTTTCAAAGATTTGGAATTCTGAATTTTGACAGTGCCACTTTAAGAGCCCAGTCTAGTTGCACATCACAATGCTGTAAATCAAAGAACTCACTGGACCACTGGCAGCCTGCCAGAAATCGAGCAGTAAGGCAGGCCAAACACATGTCTGTAGTTACAGATTCTGCTGTGTATGAGCAACTGCTAAATCTTCGGGTGAGGCTCTATTTGTTTTACTATAAAGGCAGTTTTTGCAATGGTGAGTCTAGTATACTTCAGAGAGGCAATTTCTATATACCAAGTCAAGACTGTCCCCAAAGATACCATTGAATCCTGTACTAGTAACCCTATTATGCCAAATCTAGACTCCAGATTCCTCCATAAGGGCTCACCATGGGATTACTTCACCATGGGATGGGCACCATGAACTCTCCTGGTCTCCTTTGGTGTTGCCTATTAACATGAAGAGGGCTTGCATGGAAAGCTGGCAGGCTTATAATGCTTGAGCTAAAAGGTGGGGCATGTCTCCCATGCTCAGCTTTTTTCTGGGCAAAGTTACCAGTGTCAAATTCAGGCAGTGACCAGCAATTGGTGTGCTACCAAGTTTGCAAAAGGGTCAGGGCTAGGGAGCAGAGAGGTCTGCAACCAGTGGGCAGAGGCTAGTGTGCCTGCTACTGATGGATGAAAGCCATCCAGTTTCTTCTGCAGCATAAATTGATTCCTGTGAAGGTCTTACACACCTCAACATAGCTTGTGTCTCTGGAATACCAGAGCCCATTGAAAGAAATTCCAAGATAAAGAAATCCTGAGTTGGGCATGGTGGCCCATGCCTGTAGTCCCAGCACTTTGGGAGGCTAAGGTGGGTGGATCACCTGAGGTCAGGAGTTTGAGACCGGCCTGGCCAACATGGTGAGACCCCATCTCTACTAAAAACACAGAATTAGCTGGGTGTGGTGGCAAATGCCTGTAATCCCAGCTACTCAGGAGGCAAGGCTGGAGAATCACTTAAACCCAGGAGGTGGAGGTTGCAGTGAGGTGAGATTGTGCCATTGCACTTTAGCGTGGATGATGAGAGCAAAATTCTATCTCAAAAAAAAAGAAAAGAAAAGAAAAATTCTGACTTGCAGCTCACAATGTATAATATAGATTTATGCAGTTCAGCAGCTAAAGGTGGAATTTGGCATGTGAATTCAATAAATTGGCTAAAATATAGCCCTATCCAAAAATAACACGTAAAAGAATATTAACAATTGGGGCTTTCTCTCTAGGAGACACAAGAGAATCCATGTTGAATATGTACCATAAAAGTTTTAGAATGTGGCCCCAAGCATTTTAACACGTGTCTGCATGCACTGCCAAGAATGAATTCCCGCACTACTTCATATTCTCAAACACAATTTGTAAAATGGTATCCATTCTCACAGGGTAGGACTTTTTGCCTGTAAGTGCTCATTTACGCTTAGGATAATTTATGCTTTGGGGCTGGCAAATGACCTTGAGGGCATCACTTGAAATATCAGGCATTTATGAAAAATTGGGGGGAAAAAAAAGAGCCTACATGATACCATGAGGGAAAAAAGAAAAAAAAAGGACACAATTGTGAGAAAACTATTCAAAGATAAAAAGGCTTTTTTTTTTTTTTAAAGTTCAAACCTACAGAAGAGTTAAAAGAGCAGCATAGAAAGCATCCTTATCCTCTTCACGTAGGTTTTCCAGCTGTTAAGTTTGTGACATTGACTGGACCTTCTCTCTTTCTCTCTCTCTCTGTTTTTTTTTTTTGGAACCATTTGAAGGTAAGTTGCAGATATCATGACAATTTAGCAAGCATTTCTTAAGAATAAGAATGTTCTTCTTCAAAATACCATGATCATATCTAGAAAAATTAACACTAATTCAATAATTTCATTTAAAATACAGTCTATATTTCAACTTCCCAAACTGTCTTTAAAATGTTTTTCATAACTTTTGCTTTTTCATTCAGAATCTAATTTAATCTAGTGTGTGAAGGTTCACATGTTGTATTTGGTTATTTTATTTTGTACAGACACTTTTTAGTAGTTTAAGTGTTGCTTTTTTTTTTCTTTTAGGTGAAATTCGCCTCTTGGAATCCAGCAACCTAACTGTGTCAGACATGGTGCTTAGGTCACAATAACCTTTCTCCATGTGGTCATTCCCTGAGGACAATGAGTTCTTTGGCAGAAACCAGGAGATACAGTGAGGGAAACTTTATGGGTAAGGAAGGTTCCACAATGGTAGGAGGCAAGAATTTAGGTCTGAGGGGCAATCTCTTTTTTGACCTGAGTTACTCACACAACTCAGTCCTCTCATTTCCCACTCCCTTCCATGTTCTCTTTTACTTTTTATAACTTCTGGCAGGGTCTAGTGTGAATAAAAGATAAAGGACAGACTATGAGGTACTTAAGACAGGGACTTTGCTTGTTATTTATCTTTTTCCTTTTAAATTTCATAAAGACAAAGAGAAACAGTAACATTTACACAGTCCCCTTTTGCTTATATTCCCATATCTCCCCTCAGTTTCCTCATTTGTAAAAATGGAGAAATTAATAGTGTACAGTTAAATATATGGCTCAGAACAAAGCCTGGCACAGAGAAAGCCTTACAAGTGTTAGCTGTTGCTGTTGTTTTTGTCATTATTATTAGACATAGCAATCTACTTATACTGTAAGATTGTTTCTCAACTACAATTTCAATAAGCCAATGCCTATTGAAAGAAAAATATCACCCAAACTGGTTTAGCTGGTTTCCAGAGTCTAAATAGGCAATAAATAGAACAACGAATACCATTTAACAAACAGGGGTGGGGCTGGAAGGGTGCAGAAGCCTGAGAGGGGAAGGAAGAAGCAACTGGGGGGTCAGCAGGTAAGGGAGGGGCAGCATCTCTAAACTTTTCTAAGATCTGCTCTGAAGATCCCTCCGTAGGAGCTCGGTATTGACTTTTTAGCTGTCCCTAGATTTCACTACATTTCCTCAAGGTTAGTACCATGCTTCAGAAGAAAATACTGCTGGCAGAACTTGCTTATGACATATACAGATGAAACCAAATCTAAACACAGAGCATCCTCAGCTTCCTAAAGCACAAATGCACAATTCATACTCTTTCCGGAATATATACATGATACAATGTATCATCCAGGTCATCTTCTCATATATTTGGAATAACTCACCTTCTCCAAGGGTCCTCTGCAGCAAGTCATGTTTGGCTTGAAGTTTTGTGATGAGATTACTGCCTTCCAAATATTCTCTGAGTTTCTGCAAAAGACAAGAATAATTTTTAAGTTTTAAAAACTATTCAGTGTCAAGGAACTTTTCATAGATCTAAAATCCAGCCACTTTGATCTTCCAGATCCTAGAAACTTGCTACTCGAAGTGTGGTCTGCAGACCACCAGCATCAGCCAACCCTTGGGAGCATAGAAGAGATGCATATTCTCAGGTCCCTTCTGTACCAGACCTCTGAAAATTAGAACTGGCACTTTAACCAGCTATCCTGGTGACATATGGATATTAAAATTTAAAAGTACTGTTTCTTTCTTTTTTTTTTTTTTTTTAATTTTAGAGTTGGGGTCTCACTCTCTTGCCCAGGCTGGAGTGCAGTAGGGTGATCTCAGCTCACTGTAACCTCTCTGCCTCATGGGCTCAAGCGATCCTCCTACCTCAGCCTCTCAAGTAGCTGGGACTACAGGTGCACATCATTATGCCTGCCAACTGTGTGTGTGTGTATGTGTGACTATCTATCTATCTATCTATCTATCTATCTATCTATCTATCTAATCTAATCTAATTTAATCTAATCTATCTGTCTGTCTGTCTGTTTGTCTGTATGTTTTGTAGAGACAGGGTTCTGCCATGATGCCCAGGTTGGTCTCAAACTCCTGGGCTCAAATGATCCTCCCACCTCAGCCTCCCAAGTGTTGAGATTACAGGCATTAAGTCACTGTGCCCAGCTAAAAGTACTGTTTTAGAGAAGTCCTCTAACTTCTAAATAACTCCTAAACTCCGAGACTGACTGAATCAGGAGCTCTGCTGGTAGACAGGTGTCTATTTTAATAAAAAGAACCCCAGATGATTCTGATGCGATTATAGAAGCAGCCCTTGGGAATCCTAGATCTGAGTTCTGTAGAGTAGCTTGGGAAGTGGCGGGCGCACCATGAAGTAGAACTGTTCAGTTTCCTGCTGGTTGGCTCTTCGCTTGGCAATGCTGGGCTTACTCAGGTAGGTCTCAGAGACAGTGGACTTCACAGATTCTGTGGAACGACTGTGCTGGAAGCATTCAGAAACATCATAGTCCTCGATGGTGACCATATCTTGTATTGTCTGCAAGGTGGCTTCAGTCGTTTTCTTAACCTGGAAACAAATACATTTCTCATGTTAGTACATTATTTTATGAATCCCACAAACAGAGAAAGTCCCTTCTGTCAGGCAGAGATGAGGACACAGGCCCTGCCCCCACCAAACTGACAGTCTATTAGGAGAGAAACAAAGGTAAAAAAATAGTCCGTATTGCCAGTTTAAGGGAAGGATTTCTTTAAAATCATCCTAAGGAGGTTATCACTTTATATTTCGGTCCTTACAAATCTCATATATTACTGGGTAGTCTCTCAATCACTTTGTCTTAAATAACATTTTTAATTGAAGTCACACTACATATAGAAAAATACACAGACCATAAGTGTGCAGCTTGATGAATTATCACAAAGTGAACGCACCTATGTGAAGACCAATCAGACCAAGAAACAGTATATTAAAAGCCTGCTTGTGCCTCTCCCAATTACCATACACCCATACCCTCTCCTCCTCAAAGTACTAATTAAGTGTATTTGTAAGATCAGATATTAGTTTTGCCCTTTCTTGCACTTTACATGAATGAAATCCTACAGCATGTATTTCTGCCTTCCTTTGCTCAACATGAGATACTCTCATTTCTTGTGAGTATATTTCATTGGTATTCACTGTAGAAATACACTGTAATTCATCCATTTTACTATCGATAGATGATTTATTTTTAGTTGCGGGCTATTTTGAATAATGCTGCTATAAACACATTTTTGTTTGGTCACACATATATGAATAGAATTGCTTCTAAACTGTTTTCCAAAATGATTGTAATTTATATTCTCACCAGCAGAGCGGAAGAATCCCTGCTATTCCACATCCTCATCAACAGTTGGCATTGCCAGTCTTCCTTTTAAATTTAAACAATTGTGTTGGGTGTGCAGTGGTATCTCACTATGGTTTGAATATGCAATTCCCTGATACATGAGATTGAGCACATTATCATATGTTTAAGGCAATTCGGATCTCCTTCATTGAGAACACTTTGTTAAAATCTCTCACTCCATTTTCTGTTATGAGTCTTTTTCTTAATGATTTGTTGATATGGATGTGAGTCTTTTTGTGGTTATATGTGCTGCAAATATTTTTTCCCACTCTGTGCTGTGGTTTTTCCCTCTATCAGTAGTGTCCAGATGAACAAAGATTCTAATTTTAACGTGATGCATTTATCAATTCTCTCCTTTCTGATTATTTTTTTGTGTCCTATTGAAGAAATATTTTCCTATCTCATAGCCAGAAAGATAGTGTTTTATGTTATCTGTTAGGAGCTTATTTATTTATTAATCTTCTGGTAGCCTTTTTTTCACCAAAGGTCATATTCCACCTTTGCTTATCAAAGTGTAATGTTAACTGATAGCTTTTTCCTTCTCTCACACAATATAAAGAGTTTAGAACACCTTAACTTCATTTACTCCTCCTGATTTGTATGCTACTTTTGTAATGTATTATAACAGACTATATGTATTTATATATATTTAAATTTAAAACATTATTTCATATAGTCAATATGCATTCACTATCATCCATTAATCTGTTACCTTCTTTGATCTCCACTGCTTGTATTTTAAGGGTACTCTTTAAAAATTCTTTTTAGTATGTGTCTGTTTTGTTGACCTGACAGTGTCTTTTATTTCACCTTCATTTATTAAAGATCTTTTTCTGTGTAGCACTTATTTTCTTTTTGTATATTAGATACCACTGTACTCTGTTGTGGCTTCCATGTTCCTGTTAAATGAGAAGGTTACTGTCAGTCTGTCATTGCTTTGAATAAAATCTGCTTTCTTTTTCCAGCTGCTTTTATAATTTTCTATTCATCTTTGGGTTTCTACATTTCACAGTAATATATCTAGCTAAGGGTTTTAAAATATATTCTGCTTGGAATTTCTTGGACTGCTTGAATTTGTGTGATGTTTTTCATAGGCTTTGGTAAGTTTGCAGCTTTCCTCTTTTCAAATATTGACTCTATATTCTATAATTTTTCTTTCTGGGCTGGGCACAGTGGCACTTTGGGAGGCCGAGGTGGGTGCATCTCTTGAGGTCAGGAGTTTGACACCAGCCTGGCCAACATGGTGAAACCTCATCTCTACTAAAATGCAAAATAGCCAGGTGTGGTGGTATGCACCTGTAACCCCAACTACTTGGGAGGCTGAGGCAGGAGAATTGCTTGAACCTAGGAGGGGGAGGTTGCAGTGAGCCAAGATTGCACCACTGCACAAAAAATTTTTCTTTCTGGGAGTTCAGTGAGTATACTAGATATCACTGTGTTCTCTATATCTCTTACTTACTCTTCTGTATTTTATTATCTTTTGTTTTTTGATAGTGTATTTTTATTATTTCTTCTGATTTGTCTTCTACTTTGATGATTTATTTTTTAGTTCTCTCTGATATTAAAATCACCCACCTCTTTTTAAATTTTGGTTATTTCTCAGTGCTAGAATTCCTACGTGGCTCATTTTCAAATCTGTTATTTCACTGCTTATGATTTCCTGATGAAATCTAAGCTTGGCTTTTACCTCTGTGAATACTGTAAGTAGTTCTTTCGTAATTTATTTCACAATAATCCCCATATTTGGAGTTTCTGTGGGTGTGTTTCTATTGTGTATTATTTCTTCTGGCTATCACTTATGGTCTTATCTCCTCGTCTAATGATCTTTGGTAGATATTTTTGTAGTTATTTGAAGTCAAAGGTGAGGTTATCCTCCAAAGATAATGTTTATTTTCCCAAACCACTAGGGGCACTAATAGTTCAGAATCTGTGGATTTTATTACTGTTCAAAATATTCAGTGCTCTTCCTTTTGGGAAGGTATGGTTCCCTGTCACAGGTTTCAGGCTTGACCATGCATCTTGTCCTAGACAATGGAATTTGAAAGAATCAGTTGAGTGGCCCAGTCCACCATTACAGGAAGAGGAAATCTTTTCAATTACTTTTTTTTTTTTTTTTGACCAAAACAATGTTTAGGAAAGAAACAGTAGCAATTAGTACTAGTTTGGATGCTTAGAAGGTCATGTGATGGAATTAATATTTTTAGAAAGGCAAAGAAATTTAATAGACAGTCATTATTCCTGGGGTTATGCATAATGCAAAGGGTAGATACTGTTGGAAAAAAAGCATATTAAAGATCATTAAAAAATACTGCAATTAATTACTTTAAGGAGGTTATTATGTATCTATAGACTGAATTAAAAGAGCCACCATCCTACACTAGTCAAATAGGTTCTTGTGGCTTGTAGACAAATTTCTAATGACATTATCATGCACAAGTTTTAAAAGCACTATATTTCAAACAAATAGATGTGAAGATAGTATACTCTGAGAAAAGTGTACTTGATGACTCCAAATGTGTTTGATTACTCAAACATACTATCAGGATATATGAAGAGTCTCCATAAAATTGTAAAAATGAGAAAAAAAAATTTTCTAAATTAAGACTTTTATATGATATGTGATTTAAAATATTTATGTATAACTAAGTTAATGGCCAAATATTAAAGGTAAATATCTGACTATGTTATCAACAACTCCATAAATTTTATATGTATAATACTTTTTAAAAATGGAAATCTTTACTTGTGCCGACATATAGTAATTAAAATACTATAAAGTAAATGCCATTACTTCTTTATTCAATTAATCTCTTGATTTAGACAAATGTGTAAGAAAACACAGGTAAAAGAGTATACCATGTTGTCTGAGGAAGTCATAGAAGGCACCATTCATTTAATACATTTTGAGCATGTATTAAAGGCTGAGTAGGTGTTCACCAGAAAAAGGCATTCCAGGCAGAGGAAAAAGTGGGAAAAGAGAGACCCTGGCATCCTTGGGCTATAACAGGTAGCCTTTTATTAGAAGTAGGAGTGCACAGCATCTAGAGAAGATGACTAACTAATAAAGGTCCTTCCTATTGTATGATACTGAGGTTAAAATTAAAAAAACAAAACAAAAATAAAGGCCCTCATATACCACACTTAACAGAATCAACAGGGAGCCACTGATACCCAGAAGGGACAATTTAGATTTACATTTTTAAAAGATCAGAGAATTGATCAACAATAAAAGGGAAAGAGACAGAAAGCTGACAGAAAGCTGGAAAGTTAGTCAGGAGACGCTAGTTCCATTGAGAGATGATGAGACCTTGATCTAACAAAGTAAGAGTGGGAATGAAAATGATGGGACATATTTGAAAAACATTTAAGCAACAGCAGTAGCAGTTAATCGTTTTCAACAAATGGCTTAAATAGCAAAACTGCTGGAAAGAACTACAGCTTCTTTTGCTCTGGAAGGCAGAGCAGAACTTCCAAATACACAGAAATATTCTGCAGATACTGGTGAGGTGAAGTATAAGAATAACTTGATGTAAGGTACAGTAAGGTGCTCTGATATGTACCTAATTAAAACACAATGACAATTAAAGAAAAACAATGACTAAAAAAGCTGCTAAACCAAAAAAACCCAAAATCCATCTGAACAACCAAAAAACCCCCCAAATAATCATGAACTAAAATAAACATTTGTAGTTTGTCTTCAAATACAGTCAGTTCTTTTTTTCTGCGGATTCCATATCCATGTATTCAAACATTCACAGATTCAACCAACTGTGGTTCAAAAATATTTGGGGAAAAAACAATAAAAAATAATAATGCAACAATAAAAATAAAAATAATACTGTATAACTATTTATATAGCATTTACATTATTTTAGGTATATAAGTAATCTAGAGATGATTTAAAGTATACAGGAAAATGTGTGTAGGTTATGTGCAGATACCACAGCATTTATATAAGGAACTTGAGCATCCTTGATTTTGGTATCTGTAGGAGGTCCTGGAACCAATCCCCATTGGATGCCAAGGGACAACTGTAATCTGTAAATTTGTTGGAATTTTGCAATTAAAGTGTCCTCAATGAGTTTATGAGACAGATGGTTACATAAGAATGTTTCACTATAACCATGTTCTTATGTATAGGGAACCAGAGAGAGCAGCATTATCAAATGCACACAAGGAATACTTATGTGAAAAATCACAACACCATTTTTCTTCTGTTTTTCAACTTCCTTCTCAGAAGCAGTGGTGTCACGGTTGAATCTGGAAGTATCAGAAATAAAGGATGTGACAGAAGCCACCAGATACAATGCAGGGATATGCTCGCAACAGACAGTAACACCAGCTTCTGACACATACAAGCCATGTTAATAAGTCTCAGGGAGGAACATAATGAGGTAAATATGAAATAGCTAATATGAGCCTTGTAACATCTCTCCATCAGCAGCAGGAAAACATGGGTGGGTTTGGTGGAAGCAGAGGCCAAAGACTTGACAAAGGATTCGTAAGAAACCTGAGGAATGCTCTGCACTGAAGAAACTGCCCAGGTGGCTTGAACTCTAAGCTGTGGGTCAAAACGAATTAGGGAGAGGTGACTTCTGTGGGCTTTTGTGGACTGGCTCTGTTGCCTTTGTGTTACCAGGATATTACCATCACTGGGAGAACAAGACGGCCATTTCAATGGTCTCATTCCCTGAATGCACTGTTAGTCTGCTAAGGCAAACCAGGTACTGAGTGGCTTAAACAACAGAAATGTATTGTCTCACAGTGCTGGAGGCTAGACATCTGAGATCAAGGTTTTGGTTTGCAGGGTTGTTTCCTTCTGAGGGTGGGAGGGAAGAACCTGTTCCAGGCCTCTCTCCTTGGCTTGGAGATGGCCATCTTCTAAGTCTCTTCCTATTATCTTCTCTCCACCTGTGTCTCTGTATCCAAATTTCCCCTCCTCTTTATTAGAAGGACACCAGTTGTATTGACCTTACTTTCATTTGATTATTTCTGTGAAGACTCTATCTTCAAATAAGATCACATTCTTAGTCACTGGAGGCTAAGACTTTAACATATGAATTTTCGGCATAGACACAAATCATGCCATAACATACCCCATGTTTTTTATGGCACTGTGCCTTGTGCCTTGCACCTGATGTAGTCCTATTCACCCTTTAAGACTCATCACTCATCTGTGAAGGGACCCTCATCCCTTCCTCTGCGTCCCCACTGAACTACTTCCTCCTTGCCATTGCTGACCTTGAATGTATTTCAGTTACACCGCTGTGCCATTTCAGATGTGCTAAAAATTAGCAGAAAGGAACACACACACACACACACACACACACACACACACACACACACAGAGAGAGAGAGAGAGAGAGAGAGAGACAGAGAGACAGAGAAAGAGAGAGAGAGATTGGGTCAATGCCATAATTAATTAGCTAAGGGTACAGAAACTCACAGCACAGGCCACAGAAGGCAAGAGCACAGGCAGAGCATCCTGCCATGGCCTTCCCTTGCTCCTTGCACCCTAACATGGGTGCAATGCTAGTGACCCTGTCCTCTGTCTGTGTTGGGTAGTCAATACCAGATCTGAAAAAACAGCCCAATGTTTGCTGTCCCACAACTTTTTTTTTTTTTGTCGGGGGGCAGGCGGTGGGCGGGGGGGATGTCACATCATCATTCTAGAAGAATTCACACTAATAACTTATGTACTTCCATTTAAGGTAATGTTTACAAATGCTGGGCTGTCTTGTCTTTGAACAAAATTCATTCTCAGCAATGATATATAAAAAGAAGAAAACATTTGTCATTGCTCAGGACTCTCAGAACAAAGCCTCTGCCTTCAGCTGTGTCTCAAGAAACCTGTTTTCCTGCAGCCCACCCTTGACTCTGATTTAATGACCCATATGGGTGGACCTGACACTGAGTATGGTCTAAGGAGCATGATCTCAAACCAATTTCTCACAAGCACTTGCCGCACTGTTTAGAGGTTTATATTTCCACCTATGGTGGAGGCAACTTGAAGTCAGTGATAATTTATTAATCTTTATAGCTTCAGGTACTAGCACGTTGCCTGAAACACAGCAAATTATCAGAAAAAGTTGACTGAATGAACAGTGAACATTCAAGTTATCCTTGCAAATCATGAATGCCAAAGAATGCTCAATCCATCAGAGAAAACGAGTGATTTCTCCTCTGAGAGTCTTTCTTTGGAGTGCCCTGTCCCAGGACTCATTTTTACATCCAGCCTAGAAATTCTCACTTCTCTTGGTATTCTTTTGGATCGAGTCCCTCCCTTCAGCGAGTTAAAGCTTGCTTGAAATGAAAAATATAAATCTGTGTTTACAGTGAAAGACAGTTGATCCTATTTTTAATTTTTGCCAAGAAGATGATGTCACTTAAGGGACAAATAGCAGTGATTTTTTACTTAGGATTTTCCTGTTAGCTCGTCAGTAGAAGGTTACAGGTATGTCAAAGATACTTAAATCAGCAAAAATGAAGTTAAGGCCACAGAGAAGATCCAAAACAGCAATCATAATTAAGTGGTTATCAAGCTTCACATCGTATATTAAGTCTCAAAAGACCCTGAGAATTGCCCATGAGAGTTTGATCACTGATTGACATGAGCTGGGATTCTCCTGAGGTGACTGGTCCGATGAGAAATTTTTCTACCCTAGGTAGGTGGTATAACTGAAATATCTTAGTTCCCTCAATTTCCCATGCCATGAAAATTGTCTCAAATGTTTGCCTAAAATCTTGCTCATTATTGTTGAAAATCTCTTGTGTAAGTAATGTATTTTTGGAACAGTCTGTGAACTACTCCTTGACAAACTGCTGGTGAAAGACTTTAAATGGTGCTGGGAAAATTTACGTGGAGCTATCTATTCATTCAACATTGTTGCAAGTTGACTGAGAAATCATGGGTTTCTTTCATTGTACGTTCCCCTCAGGGTGGTAAATCTACTATAATTTAAGAGAGACTAGTTGTTTTATATGGGAGAAGGTTTTACTCATAGCACAGCAGTGACATGCTGATGAAAACTTTATTTTCTGGACCAACTATTGGGACAAATGGTCTGAAAAATGAGACAATCTACTAAAAACCAACACTGTCCTAAAAAATATGAAAGGCGTAGTTGCTTTCCTTAAAGCAGTTTTTCTCTTTCTTTGGCTGTGTATATACAAAAGGAGGAATGAGAAACTTAAAGAAATGGGAACTATAATGAATGGGGAATTACTCCAGAGTAGCTTTGAAAGAATGAAGCAACAGGAATGAGCCCCTAAGCAGAATTCCCTACAACAAGTGTAAATGCAAACTTTGAGAAAGCAGACAAGACAGTGCAATATTATTAGGTTGGAAAGTGTTTAGAAAATGTTTATAATGAGAAAGGTATAAACGATTATTTAGTTTGCTTTTGAAATGTTGCCTTTAAGAGCAATGTTGGTCCAGGTGGCTGAAATGAATAATGTAAGACGGCTGTGGCTCTCACCTATAATCCCAGCACTCTGAGAGCCCAACATAGGAGGATCGCTTAGGAGTTCAACCAGCTTGGGGAACAGAGGCAGACCCTGTCTCTGCAAATAATAAAAAAAGTAGCTGGGCATACTATTTTGTTTTTGAACAAAATTTATAATAAAAAAATTGAAGAATAATTCAAAATTGTTATTTGTAATAATTCGTAGAGACAATGTCTCTACAAATAATACAAAAGTAGCTACTTGGGAGGCTGAGGCAGGAGGACCACCTGAGCCCAGGAGGTTGAGGCTGCAGTGACTGTGCCACTGCACTCCAGCCTGGATGACAGTGGGGCCCTGTTTCAGATAAAACAAAACAAAAACAAAAGTAATATTTATTAATGTTGCACTTGAAAGTTTTAATAAACAGTTAAGTAATCAGAATAAAACAATAATTGGGAACAAGGCTGTGTGGCAGCAGGCCCTGCTTTAATTACATATGCACAACAAACAGTGGGCACTAATGAATATTCACTGACTGATCAGCTGGAAGTTGGAATCGTGAGCCTGAGGTACCAAGGGTACAAGTTTGCAGCATAATAAAACTCGAACCGCATTTTTAAAAGTTCAATAGGTAGGCCGGGCGTGGTGGCTCAAGCCTGTAATCCCAGCACTTTGGGAGGCTGAGGCAGGTGGATCACGAGGTCAAGAGATTGAGACCATCCTGGTCAACATGGTGAAACCCCATCTCTACTAAAAATACAAAAAATTAGCTGGGCATGGTGGCCCATGCCTGTAATCTCAGCTACTCAGGAGGCTGAGGCAGGAGAATTGCCTGAACCTAGGAGGCGGAGGTTGCAGTGAGCCGAGATCGTGCCATTGCACTCCAGCCTGGATAACAAGAGCGAAACTCTGTCTCAAAAAAAAAAAAAAAAAGTTCAACAGGTAAATGTAAAGTTGTGAAGTGACAATAAAATGTCACAATTCCTTATGAATCTTCATCAACCACAAATTTAACAAAGCCCTTCTCCAACCTTTTAACTTTTACTATGTGTAAGTATACTGAGGCCATTTCGCAAGCTTGTACTGCTCTCTTTATTTTAAGGCAGGTGATACAAACTCAAATATCTTTAAGGGCCAAGCAAGCCATGAAAATGAGGTGAGTGGACTGAGTGGAGAGCATGGCATACAGGAAGCACACGTTCCGTGTCTTAGGGAAGTCAGTTATCGTCCTGCAGAAACACAGGTCTAGTGTGATCAGTTCGTCTAATTTTTAAAGAGGCTGGATATTGATAAATATATATATAGTTTTGAGACAGAGTCTTGCACTGTCACCCTGACTGGAGTACAGTGGCACAATCTCGGCTAACTGCAACCTCCACCTCCTGGTTCAAGTGATTCTCCTGCCTCAGCCTCCCAAGTAAGTGGGACTATAGGCATGTGCCACCATGACTAGCTGATTTTTGTATTTTTAGTAGAGTCATGTTGGCCAGGATGGTCTTGAACTCCTGACCTCAAGAGATCCACCCACCTTGGCCTTCCAAAGTGTTGGGATTACAGGCATGGGCCACTGTGCCCACCCTGCATATTGTTATTTTTATGAAAACTTAGTTTTTAAAGGACAGCAAATAACTTCCAAAACCCAAGCACTGTAGAGCAAACAAAATTTTCAGGCCAGGAGTGGTGGTTCATGCCTGAAATCCCAGCATCTTGGGAGGCCAAGCAGGTGGATTGCTTGAACCCAGGAGTTAGAGACCAGCCTGGGTAATGTGGTGAAACCCAATGTCTATGAAAAACATAAAAATCAACCAGGCATGGTGGTACATGCCTGCAGTCCCAGCTACTCGGGAGCTGAGGTGGGAGGATCACCGAGCGCACAAGATTGAGACTGCAGTGAGCTGTGATTGTGCCTCTGTACCCTAGCCTGGGCGACAGAGTGAGACCCTGTCTCAAAAAAGAAATTTCATGAGCCAGATATGGCCTGTTGCACATGGTGCCTACTATTTAAGGTATTCTAAGATTTGGTGAAAAGGTTCATGTTCTGCTTAGCTGCACTGTCCATGCTTTTTAAAACTTGGGTGAAATTCTCAACTTTTTTTTGGAGGTGGGGGAGACAGGTTCCCATTCCACTGCCCAGGCTAGAGTGTTATGGCACAGTTATAGTTCAATGCAGCCTCAAGCCCCTGGAGACCTTCAGTACTTATTGTACTAAACCACAGTAACAAAACTCAACTTGGCTCTCAAAGCTTCTTGTTGAATCACTTTACCTTCTCCATCGGTTCATCCCCAAAGAGAACTGGGGTGATAACCAAACTATTCTATTCTCCCAAGGCACCTTGACTATATTGAAATATCTTTTCTTCCCTCTATTTTTATGGTATCTGCTGATTATAAAAAATTTGATTCAAATTTTACTTTCTTTGGGAATCCCATTCCAACACAGTAAATTTTCTTCTGTGTCCAACAAATCATAAACCGGTAGTCAAGCTCACAAGAAACATTAGAATAATCCAGTTCATTTGCTTCTCCAGCTAATGTTTAAAAATTATTTTTTAAGTTTTATTTTGTAGGCAGTAGGTTTTTAAATTTTTATTTTAAGGAATTAATATTTTTAAGAGACAGGGTCCTGCTCTGTTGCCCAGGCTAAAGTGCGGTGGCACCATCCCACTTCAGTGCAGCCTCGAACTCCTGAGCTAAAGCAATCCTCCCTCAGCATCCCAAGTTCTTTAGATAATTTTAAAAAATGAACCCTCACAAAGCATTGCCTGACTCTGTAAGTTTACAAGGACGTTGTGCTTCTCCATATTATGCCGAAAAAGGTATACATTAAGGGTCACAAACTCAAAGGCCTATGGAGGCCAGACAGGTAACACAAACAGTCCACTGTAAGAGGACTGGGAGTTGAATGACTCTGGCAACGTAGAATGCAAATGCCCCAGCTCATGAGGCAGTGCAGGGCCAAAGTGGCCAGGCCTTTTTTTTTAAAAAAAAAAACCAAAAACAAAACCAAAATAAAACAGGTCAAAACTTTGGGAGCCAAACAAAACAGAACTGTGAGATGCTGGTTTTGACTTTGTGTATAATACACTATTTTCCTTGAGTTTAGAGAATGTTTTCCAAATAAAACAGCAGAAGGATATGCATGGAAAACAAGGGAAGTCACTAGACATACCACTGTAGACAGAAGGGGATCCAGTAAACTGCATTAGGTGAGTATTTTGTGAAGTCTAGCCGAAACCTAAGCCCTCAAATGCTGCCTCAAGGTGAGCAATCGCTTTCCTTTGGAAAGGCTCATTTGTGGGACTCTACAAAGAGATGACATTAGTTGCATCTTAAGTATACACATTTGAATAAGGGCTGGTTTGGTTTCACTCGGAATAATAAGAGCCGAAAATCACAATAGGTTCTGACCAAATTTTACCAAAAATACGTCATTCTTTCTTAACAGAAACAAACACACAAAGCTCAAACATCCTGGTGGGACTAAAACAAAACAGGGTATGAAAGTAAATTTTGATAATATACGTTATCATTGTGAATTGTTTCTTTCTCATATGTCCCACAATCCTTTCTTTTGGGAATTATCTGTCTTTAGAAATACAATATTTCTGTTGGAATTTGTAATTCTCCAGGTTGGCCAATTACAGAATCTCATTTCCTAGATGTAATGGTTTGTCCTGAAGTATGCATGACTTCGGCCAGGTTAGTGAAGTGCCAGTCCTACTTGAGAAACGAGGATGCTGGGATGGAGTGGGATGGCAAGCTTTAAAAGGGACCACATAGTTCTGCATCTGTTCCCAAGACACTACAAGTACACATGAAGAAATCACTTCACAGTGACAAAAAGAGAGTCCTGGTAACATCATTTGAACACAAATCCAAGGATGTCTGAGGATACTGCAAACACTGATAAATAGTTTACTTTTTAACTTGAGTAAATTTGATTTGGGTTCCTGTAAATTACAACAGGGAGCCTTGACTAACACAAGAAACATTTGTGGTTTATATCTTTATTTTAGGAGAATGTGCATTCAAGTAAGTTAATTTCAGAAATAGGCAGCTGAATTGTATAATTGCTTCCCAGCTCAACATATATTGATAATTTATATTCTATATATTTAATACACTAATGCCAGCAAATAAACATTTCTATCCTCATTCAAGTGCTATTTCAAAATATAATTTAGTTCTAATGATGTCAGTAATGCCATGTTCAGTACCAAAAATTTAGACAATATAGGAAAGCATAAGAAAAAAAAAAGTGAATTTTAAAAGTTAGGATTAAATTAACATTGCCCACTGTGGGCCAAGCACCACAATGGCTCATGCCTGTAATCCCAGCACTTTGGGAGACCAAGGCAGGAAGACTGCTGGAAACCAGGAGTTTGTGTCGAGCCTGGGCAACATAGTGAGGTCCCGTCTCTACAAAATATTTTTTAAAATAAATTAACGTTAGTCAAAAGTTCCATTGTACACAGAATTGCATATTTTTGGATATATATGTTGACTTTAATAACCCATGGGAACCATTTTCAGTATGAATTACAATTTAAGATAAAAAATTGTGTTTACATGTATATGCTGTGAGTGTCTAGTAAAATATTAATCTATGGTAGAATATAGGATCTTTGCATTTATCCCCTACAAAGAGTACTACAGGAACCCTGAGAGCAGGAAATGCATGATGAAAAGGCTGCATTTGAATATTAAATATGCCTAGGTCATGTGAGAATGCCTTCCAGTTATATTTGAATTCAGATTACTGGGGAGGCAGGATGGATGCATGCTCACCTCTTCATTCTCGATTTTGAGCGTGGCGAGGCGGGACTGCAATTGTTGGTACCTGAGCATGAGCTCTGCCTGGACTGGCTGCTGGGCACTGACCTGGCACACCTGATGGAGAATCAGAAACCACAGTTACAACAGGACACCATCAACCCACCTCCAGAAGCACGGCTCTCTTATTTAAATGACACATGAATCACACCAATCCTCTCAAGGTTCCAATTATGTATTTACCTTTAATAGGCACATCAAAACTTCACTTGTAAATATGGAGCTGTTACATAAGCTGTAATAGCAGAATGCAGCTGCTTGGCCTGGCTATGACTGGGAAGATGGCAGCTGCAGGAAGGACTGTGGTAAGAATGGGGCAGTTCCTGAGATGGAGCTCTGATGCTGAAATCTCACTCGTGGAATTCTCAATGACTATCGTGCAGAGGCAGAGGATGATTCAAGTGGACCATACAGACATATGTAAAGAAGGCAGCAGAGCTTAATGGTTAGGGTCTGAGCTCTCGAGTCAGACAGTTGTACTTGAATGCCAGCTCTGTCCCCTACTAGCCAGGTGACTGTGATAAGTTATAAAACCTCAGTTTCCTAATCTGTAGAATGAGGGTAAGAATTCCTATATGACAGGTCTGCTCTGGGAATAGTATGAGCAATGTAGACAAGGAACTTAGAACAGTGCTTGACACAGAGTAAAAACTCAGAAAATGTGAATGACTATTTTTAGCATCTTTCAAATATGGCTTCCCTAACCAATATCAGCCAAATTGCGTGATTCACCATGAACTTTAAGAGGCCACTTATCTTAGGTTTTCATAGAAGATATTTGGCCATGATCTCAATTATGGGTAAGTTGAAAATTAGAGCATTATTAACACTGCACCAGAAACAATTTCTTCTTATCTGCCTTGTTTTAGAAATGCTCTTGGCTAATGGGGGTCCCTTTTATGGAGTTCCCAAAACCTTAGAGATTATCACTGCTCCTTAGTTGAACTGGTTAAAAAAAAAAAAAAAAGGCAAACAACTTACTTTATTAAAATAATAAAATTATTAACATCCAGCTGATGTCATTTGTCTGTGATATGTTAACATACCATGCTTAATATATTGACAGCTGAAAAACTGAAACAGCAACCATTTGGTTTTGGAAAGATGGGATAAACTATGCATCTTGCTTGTCAAAATCCATGTGCTTTTGGCTTAAAAACTTCTTACCATTTCTATCAAACACATATAAAATCCAATTAGAAATTCAGCAGGTACACTGTGTGTGTGTGTGTATATATATATATATATATATATATATATATACAATTTAAAATACATATATATTTTAAATATATATATATAATATATATTTTATATATATTATATATATATATACACTGTGTATATATATATATATATGATATATATATAAAAACATGCATATATTTTATATGTCTTAATACTCGGTATTTCAGAAAAAAATGACATTAAAGAAATCCTCCATGATCTTATAATTACACCTATTTTGAAAAACAGACTGTCACCACAATAAGACCGGGTTTTTATGTGTGAGTTTTGTTTTGTGCAGCTGAGACACCAAGTGCTATACAGCATGCTCCACTAGTTGGCTTTTTTTGCTTTCTTCTGTCCATAGACAATAATATAGACAACTGTAACTCATAATCAGTTTAAATGCATTATTTGGTTAAAAAAAAAAAAGGATAGAAAGCTGAATTCATATAAAGAATATAAAACAGTCATAATTTCTAGTGTTCATTTTATAGCTTTGGAGCCAACTTGAGTCTTAAAAAAAGTTCTGCACTTTTTTTCTTTCGTTCATTTTCCTTCCATATACAATTATTTTTCTTTATGAGAATCTTTAAATCAGGATTATAAGAAGCCATCAGACAGATTCTATTGAACCTGCAAAATGTCTTCCTTTTCATTAAATTAAAATGTTTTGAGGTGGAACAAAAACTTTCTATTCTGGGACAGCTTAGTGCAAGGCAAATCTGCAGCTTTTATCTGTTTGGCCTCTGTGGGTATTTGAGTGTTTGACGTTTGCTTTAAAAGGTGGTAGCAGCTGATCTTAGTGTTGTAAGAGCCTTTGCAAGGACAGGAGAGAGAAAACAACTGGGAATTATTAGAACTGTTACATTATAGCAAGTGAGGAGAAATATAAGTGAAGAGACAATTCATTATTTAAAACATGATCAATTACTGACCTCATCGCCCATGTGAGACTGAAACTCAAACTTCATTGGTGGACAGAATGCAGCAGGGTACATCTCCATGAATCTCTGCTTATCACTCCTGGGCTCTAAATTATCAACTGCATTCTCGATAATGTCTAAGCCTTCATGTCTGGAGGTTTCAAGGTTGTACTCCGCAGAGAGATACGTTCTTAGGGCTCTGTTCAGACTTGCATGGTAGCCAAGATCACAGCACTTAAAAAGTAAAAGAATACCACATTCAAAAATTAATGCAAAATTGATCAAAGACCAAAATGTGAGTATAGCTATAAAATTCTTAGAAGAAAACATAGGGGTAAATGTTCATGATATTGGATTAGGTACTGGTTTCTTGGATAGGACATCAAAAGCAGAAGCAACAGATAAAAAAATAAATTAGCTTCATCAAAATTGAAGACCCTCCATCTCTAATAAAGTATAAAAAATTAGCCGGGCGTGGTGGCCTGTGCCTATAGTCCCAGCTACTCAGGAGGCTGAGGCACGAGAATCACTTGAACCTGGGAGGTGAAGGTTGCAGTGAGCCAAGATAGTGCCACTGCATTCCAGCTTGGGCTACAGAGCAGGATTTTGTGTCAAAAAAAAAAAAGAGAAAAAAAAAATGTCACTATCAAGAGAGTGAAAAGAGAACCCACAGAATGGGAAGACATTTTTGCAAATCATATATCTTATTAGATACTTATAGCTAGAATATATAAAGAACTCTTACAACTCAATAATAAGAAGACAAAGCCTAATTTTAAAATGGGCAATGAATCTGAATAGACGTTTCTTCAAAGATGACATACAAATGGTCCACAAGCACATGAAGAGATTCTCAAAATCACCGGGAAATACTAATGGTAATCAGGGAAATGCTAATCAAAATCGCAATAAGATACCACTTCACACCCACTAGGATGGCTGTAATCAATAAGACAGACAATCAAGAAGAGAATGTGGAGAAACTGGAACCCTCATACACTGCTGGTGGGAATGTAAAATGGTAGAGCCACTTTGGAAAACAATCTGTTAGGTCCTCAAGAAGTTAAACATACAGTTACCATGTGACTCAGCAAATCTGCTCTTAGATATATATCTAAGGGAAATGAAAACATATTTCCACCCAAAAATGTGTATACAAATGTTTATAGTAGTATTATTAACAACAGCTAAAAGGTAAAAACAATCTAAATGTCTACAAACCAGCAAATGAAATGTGATATAGCCATATCATTAAATATTATTCAGCCACAAAAAGGAAGGAAGAACTGATACATGCTATAATATGGATGAACTTTGAAAACACTATTGTAGGTGAAAGAAGCAAGTCACAAATGACCACATATGATTTCACTGACATGAAATATTCAGAAGAGACAAATTTAAAAAGACAAAAAGTAGATTAGTGGTTGATGAGGGCTAGGAAGAGGGAAGAAGTAAGGGTAATGGTTGAGGGGTGCAAGATTTCCTTGTTGGGTAATTAACATGTTCTAAAATTAATTGTGGTGATGGATACACAACTCTCAGTATACTTAAAGTCAGCTGTAGATTTATAATGGGTAAACTATATAGTATGTGAATTATACCTCCATAAAGCTGTTAAAAAATAAAAGAGGCAAGATAAAATACCAAAAGAAAAGAATGAAAAATAGCATTCAAGTTTTATTTGTGCAATACTGAGATTGATACAATAATTTATTGAAACCTATGTAAGCTGCAAATACACTAACTACAATATTTTGGATTTGCATATTTTATTGAAGATCAAGAATAAACTGTACTCTTTGAGAAGTGAGAAGAACAGGTTACAATCTGCCAAAATAGTCTAGGAATGCCTTCCCTCTTATTCCTACAATAAATTTCTTAAATAATAAATGATTGTCAAAGTCTGCTTATTGAAGGTAGAATTTCATTTAGTATCCCTAGGAATATAACAGCTTTGAGATTCTTGAATCTTCATTATCTTTAATTTGTATTTATATTTTATTTTTTCATGTTGCATTTTAAGAGAATATGACTTAAAAAAAAACAACTCTGAAATTAGTAATCAATTACTGACAGTTTGATTTTCAATTTGTATAAAAAGCAGTATAAATCACTTAAAGAGGAAACAAGTGACTTTAAAGGTACAAAACCAGATCCTTTCCTTATATTGTCCCAGTGAAGTTCAATCAGTTCTATTTGATTCAATTCAACGCAGTAATTGGCCATGGATTCAGTGCCAGGGAATATGCTAGGCTCTAGGCACATAAAGATTGGAACATAGTAAATAAACTATCTCCATCCTCAAGGAATTTGAACCTAAATTCTGTTAGTTTGCTGTTAAAATAGTGGAGAAGTCACAAAGAAAGCAAGGTTTGTACAAGGGATGTATCTACCAGGATGTGAACCATTGGATCTGCTTTCTGAAGGTACACATTCAATCACTGACCTGTCCCTAGAATTTATTTAATTCCACCCTTGGAATTTGATTAAATAGGTTGGTCCTTACAACTAACCTATTTAATTCTAACCTTTACCCTCCAATTTCAGGATTAGTACATTTGAAATTTTAAAGTAAAGATATTCTGAACTCTTGCTATTTAAAATTTAGTATGTGGACCAGCAGCAACGGCATCACTGGGGGCTTGCTAGAAATGCAGGATCTTGGCTGAGTGCGGTGGCTCACACCTGTAATCCCAACGCTTTGGGAGGCCAAGGCAGAAGGATTGTTTGAGCCCACAGGTTCAAGACCAGCCTGGGTAACATAGTCAGACACTGTCTCTACAAAAATTTTAAAAAATTAGCCAGGTATGGGGGCAGGTGCTATGGTCCTAGCTACTGAGGAGGGTGAGCTGGGCAGAATCAGTTGATCCTGGGAGGTAGAGGCTGCAGTGAGCTGAGATCGTGCCACTCCACTCCAGCCTGGGCCACAAGTGGGACCCTTGTATCAAAAGATAAAATAAAAAAGGGATCCAGAGTCTCACTACTAACCTATTTCAGAATTTGAAGATTAAAAAGGATACACAGGTGATTTGTATGCACATTAAAAGTCTGAGAAGCACTGCCCTAAAACAATCATCCAGTAAAATAAGCCTGCAACCCTGTCTTTTGGGGGTGCTATTTCCCCAAACAGAAAATAGACTTGATTAAAGACGATGATTTGAAAAAATCAGAAAGTAGCTGTGCCATCATAATTACAAATACAAGCAAAATACAATTGTGAAATGCAACAATCAGTCTCATCAATACATTTCCAGTGGAATCAGCTGCACTCAAATATAGAGAATGATTCATTTTGGTTAATTTAGAAATTCTAGTCCCAGATGAACAAAGTCCTCTTGTATCCCTCTTCCTTCTCAAAATCTATAATGGTTCTCTGCAGTGGTTTTATACACATCAGAGAGTCTGAAAATTATTCTTTCAAGAACACCTCATTTAATGAAAACATAAATTTGTAAAGGAAATAACCTCTTTTTTTTTTAGATGTACCAGTGTTTAAAAACATCTCACTATTCTGAAAGAAGACAGATTCTACTTGATTATAATGAAGCAGATGAGACAAGCTGTTTTATGAGTACTGATCCCAATGGGACTTAAAAAATTGAAATTGAGAGGAATGAAATCAGGAGAAAAGCCTCCCCCTCCCAGAAAAAAACCCCCAAATCTCTTAACTTAAAAGAGAAAGAGAGAAGGAAAAGGCAGAAAAAAAGAAAGAAAGCAATCTGACCTTAACCAGATTGACCTGGAGCTCTGAAAAAAACATTCTAAATTTTCATTACTCCGAGACTTGTCTCAAAATTTTAAGTGTAGCTTCTTTAGGGAAATAAATGTGAAGACTACAGAAACATCAGTGCATGTTTCCACAGCCAGTGCAGCCAGCTGGATTCTGCAGGTCTGGGCCCAGAGAGAGAGAATTTCATTGTGGCTTCCTCCTAGGTTGGGATGAGTGTGCATGCGGTTTAGTAACTGATCTAGGAGCCTCCCCAGGTGTCTTTGGAGCTTTGAGTGCTACCCTTAGGAGGCTTCTGTGATGAGTTTTGACAGAAAAGTTCCTTCTCTGACCCCTACAGTGCTTGTCACTCTGTGAGATCGCTTAATTGGCCTAATTTTGTTACTTCTGATAGGCAGCATTTCTACACTCTAGGCTTTTCAGGCATCTTGAACTAGAAATAAGATACAGAAAGAAGAAAATTCTTATTCAAAGTCTCCTGAGACAGCAAGGCTAGTAAATGAATCTTTTTTTTCTAAACTAGAAGCTGAAATGACACTGGATGTGTTAAATTCAAGATACTTGGTTAAAAAGGTCTAGAGTAATTCTATGGAGCTTATGAATTATTAATGACAATATGAAAAGTCAGCCTCTGCACAAAGAGCTGAGCTATAGCCTAAGTGCGTTTAGTGATGAAAGTACATAAGAAACCAATACAAGATTTCATGAAAACAAAGCAGTGTTGTTCTAATGGATGAAAAATGCTGAACAGATACATAAAATTATGGATTAAAATTGGGGAAGAAAAGGCTTTTGGAAATGGAAGGGTATATGTATGTATTTAAAATATCTGAAAACCTGTCAAGACAGATTCCAGTAGTCATTAGTCTAAATCATCACAATAGGCTAATTTTCTTAGGCAAAAGAGTTGTAAATAGTATCAAAATGAAGATGAAATCCAAGTACAGACGCTTCGCAATTTACGATGGGTTACATCCCAATAAACCTGTTAAGTGAAATATTGTAAATTAAAAATGCATTTAATGTCCCAATAAACTTATCGTAAAGTCGAAAGTTGCAATTTGAACCACTGTAAGTCTTGATGCTCCTCTAGTTGCAATGGGGTTACGTTTAGATAAATCAATTGCAAAACTGAAAGCTGAACCAGTGTAAGCTGGGGACCACCTGTATGGAGGACTGTGAGAAATGCTGAGAGCTGGCCAAAATAACATGGTGACTATAATGTGTAATGTTAGATATCACTGGATCACAGCTGTTCAAGAAGAATATATATATATAGGTGTAATTCCATGATATGAGCCCTAGTGGGGTAGAAGTTTTGCTCATAAAATGGGAGTTACCATGGTGGAACTAAATGGGAAACAAGTCTGAGATTCATGTTTCAAAAACCGTAGCAGCAGCTAAGGTCGTTTGCCAGGGTTGCCTTGGAGTAACTGGAGGGCAGCCCCAGGCTCCCATGTGATTCCAGAATTCAGCAGTTGTCATGATAATGCAAAGGATAACT